ATCGCAAAAAATCCAGAAACTTTCTTGTGTTCGTGCACGTACACGGTCGACTGCAGCTCTACTCACGGTCGACCGTGCAGCATCCAAAATTTTTCTGCTTCAATTTTCTTGAGCATCGTCGCCTTCACCTCCAATTCTATAGAAAGGGCATGACAAAATTTAGTATGATGTGTCTCAAACTGCACAAATATATCATGCAATTTTTTATCAGAGAAAACTAGAATTTCATGAACCTTTGAAAATTACTATTGACCATGTTACGGGGCTTATAGGAGAAGAGAAAAGGTTATTGCTGAAGATTAAGGGCCTAAGTTTATCCTAATTACCGTCGTTTACCATAGACTAGTATAGTGCACATGCGATGCACGTGTAACCACTTTCATGTGTAAGCACAAAGGAGGAAAGCAACAATTCAAGGGCCTGATAATATATACTTTGACTGATGTTTATGAAACATTAAGCCCAGTCACCTGTTTATCAATTTCTCAAATCTGGTTGTTGTCTGATGTTTATGAAACATTAAGCCCAGTCACCTGTTTATCAATTTCTCAAATCTGGTTGTTGTAACTTTCAGCAATACCAATCATCATTAAGCCCAGTCACCTGTTTATCAATTTCTCAAATCTGGTTGTTGTAACTTTCAGCAATACCAATCATAACAAAGTGAATTATGAATGGAGGAAAACTTTTTCCTTTTAAACTACGATACAAAGTATAATAGCATAGACATCTTGCAGAAAGCATAGATAACTGTGTACAGAAACTAAAAATAAAAATGAGATGAAGCTAGCTTATCATCTGCAGTCAAGGCCATGTGCTATTCATTATTGACGAAGAATAATACGATCTTATTAGAGCACCGATGTTGGAGCTACATCATGTCGCTCCAATAGTCCATAAGACTGTTGTCATCAAGGTTGGTCAATACGCGAAATTAAAAAATGGCTGGGTTTGTTGGCGTGAAAATGATAGATTGTTTCGGCAAGCTATATATGTTTTACAGGAGAGAGATCGGTATTCTTTGTTATGGTGAATGGATTGTGGAGAAGGAGGCAGGGATGGGGGAGTTATATATTGTTGAATGTAGAGGTTATGATACGGAGGAGATGAAGAGGGTTTTGATTTGAATGAGGAGTTAAAGAAGATTAATAGTGTCGTACGTTAGTTGAGAAGGAAAATTATTAAATGTGTCTTTTGTGCTTTAATCATTGTGCCTTCACCTTAAATTCCTTTATTGAGAAAAATCAAACGCAATCCCGTTGAAGAATCGTCCAATATAAATCCTCTAATATAAGGTTTTCAGGCTTACTTGAATAGTAAATAATTTACAGATCATTGCAATGTTCTTTATGCTTTTAGAACATCCATCCTATTATGTTCAAATTATGTGAGGTGGAAATAAAAAATGATCATACAAACTTAATTTTTAGTTTCTTACTTTCTTTCCTTCCTTTTGCTATTATCATAACCGAATTTGATGATGGGATGTTACAGAAGTGTAAACAACATTTAGTACATAATTAAAAGTGCATTTGTTTCGAATTTTAATTTAGTGTTATTATCATAACCGTTCTATTTAAATATTGTGATTACCACAAAATAAAAACCATTTATACCACATTTATGACTTTTAAAATAAAATAATTTGGGAGTTATGAGTATGCATTTAATTGGGGTTATGACTTGCACGTTTATGACTTTTAAAATAAAATTATTTGGGAGTTATGAGTATGCATTTAATTGGGGGTTATGTTATGATTTTTGTATGGATGCATGGATGCATGTATTTTATGTATTATGAGTATGCATTTAATTGGGGGTTATGCTATGGTTTATGTATGGATGCATGTATTTTATGTATGTATGTATATGTTTCAAAGGGTATTTTCGGAAGAAATGTTTTAACATCCCAATCCACTTTTATAATAGTATTAGATAGATTATGTGAGGTGGAAATAAAAAATGATCATACAAACTTAATTTTTAGTTTCTTACTTTCTTTCCTTCCTTTTGCTATTATCATAACCGAATTTGATGATGAGATGTTACAGAAGTGTAAACAACATTTAGTACATAATTAAAAGTGCATTTGTTTCGAATTTTAATTTATTGTTAGTATCATAACCGTTCTATTTAAATATTGTGATTACCACAAAATAAAAACCATTTATACCACATTTATGACTTTTAAAATAAAATAATTTGGGAGTTATGAGTATGCATTTAATTGGGGTTATGACTTGCACGTTTATGATTTTTAAAATAAAATTATTTAGGAGTTATGAGTATGCATTTAATTGGGGTTATGTTATGATTTATGTATGGATGCATAGATGCATGTATTTTATGTATTATGAGTATGCATTTAATTGGGGGTTATGCTATGGTTTATGTATGGATGCATGTATTTTATGTATGTATGTATGTATATGTTTCAAAGGGTATTTTCGGAAAAAATGTTTTAACATCACAATCCACTTTTATAATAGTATTAGATTAGATTAGACTAGTGAAAGTAATTCATGCTCGTTTTATCTAGGATGGTTTTTAGTAATTTTGTCAAAACCTCCCAAGCTAGAGGTAGTTTTCTGAAAAATATTGGGTTAATTGCAAGTTTGTAGTTCCATTGCCTTGGACAGAACCCTAAGGGGGTGTTAGTCAATTAGGATATTTTCATGCAAAATGGGATAATTGTTGAAGTAGAATAATTTTTCGCTAGTGAGATATTTTAGTGGGATAAATAGGAATAATTTTGTGAAACAGGATATTTTGATAAAATAACGTAGGATAAAATTTTATAATCATGAAATATATATTTATACATTTTGAAGATATAAATACTATTTATCTATTTTAAACTTACTATTATTGATTGATAATTTCTTACAAGAATGTTCTTCACTATTAAATAACTTTTGGTTAGACTATAAGAAATTAACAATTATTATTATAATGATGGTCTAATAATGGTGATAACCATAATAGGAAAGAAGTAAAGAAATATAAAAAATAAAAAATAACAAAATAAATATGAGTTCTAGTTTTTTACCACCTAGTTCCAAGAAATAAATATGAGTTCTAGTTTTTTACCACCTAGTTCCAAGCTAAAACTTGGAATAATTTGAGAGACTATAACTCTCATTTTTTTCTAGTTTTTTACCACCTAGTTCCAAGCTAAAACTTGGAATAATTTGAGAGACTATAACTCTCATTTTTTTATAGAAAAATAAAAAAAGTAAGATAATTTTGTACTATTATCTCAATTCTAGTTTTGTTAGAGTTTTACTTAACTAACACTGTAAAATTTTGTTCTAGTTTTAGTTCTATATGATTAACACCTTAAAATTTAATCCCACAGATTATCCTAGTTCCAATTTTAAGTTCTAGGTGACCAACCCCCCTGAGTAATTTTTTTTAATAAATACTCTTTTACCCTCAGAAAGAAAAAATTATTTTTTATTTCACTAGTAAAACTCCTAAAAAGATAAAAATTGGGAGAATGTAGGAGTAAATTACTACTTCTTGGACTTGGGCGGCAAATCTGGGATTGGGATCCTCTACTCATCAACAGTAGCTCCAAACATTTACTAATGCATCTCCACCTTTTATTTTGTGGATAAACACAAAATGAAAGATGGTCCCACAAAATGAAAGGTAGAGATGCATTAGCAAATATTAGGAGCCACTATTGATGAGTGGAGGATCCCAATCCGCAAATCTGGAAATACGAGAGATATGCGGGTATTATCGTCAAAGAACCCTTTCTCCTGGGCTTGGCTCATTAAACTCCACCTGGGCTGGGCTTAAGATAAGATGTTTAGTTGGGCTGAGCCCATTCAGTGGCCCGATATAAAACATCCCATTTGTCTTCCCGTTTCTCTGCGCGAAATCGATCAACGGTCACAGCAGGCCAAGGTACTCTCTTTTCCCACTTCAAATCAAATTTCTCTAAATTATATTGTTTTTTCCCCGGATTAATTAATTTAGGGCTTACTTCTTATGGTTTCACGCAATTTCTTGCGATTCTTCGTTTGGAGATTTAGGGTTTTTGTTATTCTTATTTATGCTCGTAAACTAGGGTTTTGGTGTTCCTTTTTTGGTTTCTCTGAATTATTGCCTTTTTTTTAATCAATTAAGGTCGCTCTAGGGTTTACCTGCTAGCGTTTCGTGCAATTTGTTAGCAATAGTTTGGAATCCGTCGCGCATTTCGAAATTAGGACCTTACATCATTATTATTATTATTTTGGTAACTAGGGTTTTTCATGTTCCTGTTGGAACTCGTTTCCATTGCATTCCAAATTGGCTTCAAAATTTCCTGTCACCGTGATGCCAAACAATGTCGTTTTAATAAGGTTGATTTTTTATTTTATTTTTAAGGGGTTGAACTTTATTGATAGCTATACGGTTGATGCTTGTACCCTTAATTTATGATAGGTTTCCTAATCCTGCAAAATTTATTGCCCTAAACTGTGATAATTTGTAATTTGTGCTCATTGCTGTACTTCCCCTTTGCGGATGCATTTATGTATTTGTAGCAATTTGAAAGGCAGTTTTTTGGAAATTTAGGGGGTGTTTGGTTGCACAATTTTATAGAAAAGTTTTCTCAAAATGTCTGACAATGGCAATTCTGTAATTAAAAAATTTCTGTAGATTTTCGTAAACTGTGTTGGTTCAAAAAATTTTACAAAAATATTTTCTGGAAAGTATAAAAAATACCAAAATTTATAGAAATTAATTTCCACTCAAAATGGGCGAAAATCACCCAGAAATCTGACCACATTGACACTTTTCTATAAAGTTGACACTTTTCTATAAATTTAGGGGGTGTTTGGTTCAATTTCTACAAATTATAGGAAATTTTGCTATTTTCTATAAAGTTATGGGCCATTTTCTTGTTTTGAACCAAACAAGCAAAGTAAAAAAAAACAAGAAAATTAGTACTTTTTGACTTCTCAAAACTTTTCCTATAATTTTTTTAAGAAATACAAGGAAATCATAGTTTGGGTGGAAAACATTTCCTATAATTTGTAGAAATTGAACCCAACACCCCCTTATACTACTGGAAAAGTCTCTATTTTGCTTTACTTGTTAGTGGACAATTGCGGAAGTTATAAGATTTTAGAGAATTTTAACATCTTTTTCCAGCATTGGATTCTGGTAATGTTTGAATTGATTTGATTTTTTTTTTCATTTTCTTTTTGTTTGTTAATTTCTCCAATGCAGGTTGTTGGGTTTATGTCTATAGGTTCCTCTAGAAGGGGTCCAGGGGCTTTTGTTGGATGGGTAATCCCAAGCAAAGATGGACCGCCGAAGAGGAATCAGCACTCAGAGCTGGGATTGCAAAACATGGGACTGGAAAATGGAGCACTATTCTGAAAGATCCAGAATTTGGCCAAATATTATATTCACGGTCGAATGTAGATCTTAAGGTGTGTCAATGGATGTATAGGACTAGTTTATTTAAAATTATTATCTCGTCTTGTTATTACGAATAGGGTTTCTTAGCATTTCTGAATTTCTACAGGACAAATGGCGAAACATCCGTGTGATATCAAGTGGCCGGGGACCACGGGAAAGAGCTACAGTGACCATGAAAAAGAACAGACAGACCCCTAAAAGTAATAATACTCAAATGGTTCCTAGCAGTGTTGTTAGGGATATTTCTGACGGTATCCTTGATGCCATGCCTATTGCAATATCAGCTGGACCTCCTCCGACCACCACTCCTGGAAAAACAGAGGCAAAGTTAGTGTTTCAATTTCATTGTGAGTTATGATTTCTTTTATTTGTATGCAAATATTTTTCCTGATATAACCTTGTAAGGAAATATGTATCATGTGTTCCTCTATTATTTTTCGTTGGCATCTATACAAATTATACAGTCTTTTGTTTATCATTGTAGCCCGTTAACAATTTTGATTATGTCAAACCTTTATTTCATTTCTGTGAAAATCAGTGATAATTGGAGGAGCTTCCTTTCTCTGAATATCTACCCAGTGTGATTTAATGAGAACAAGCTGTAGTGTCTCTTTGGTTTAGTGTTAACTAGTTAATCTGTTGTTGCACTTATAATGCTATTTAGGAATTTCAATTATCTACTGTGAAGTATTTGTGTGGATTTTCACAAGCATTGGAAAAAGGACTGTTCAAGGGGAAACTAAGTATAAATTAAGTATGATACTGTGCTATTAATATATCATATGTCATGTAGCTGGTGTTTTTCGAGGTTTGCCTATGTAAATTATTACTGAGGGTATTTTTGTGGTTTTCCAATGTAATACTTAGAGGGTCTAGAATATTTTATTACGGAGCAGAATTCTGAATTTACTTAGGTGGTGTTGTTTGATAGCTTGCAACTATAGTTGTAATATATCTGCCACTTGCATGCAATTGTGTCATTGCAACTTTCAACCACAGTTGCAGCAGATAATTTTACAATTTACAACTTCCAGTTTTGTTCAACTTGCAACTTCTCATGTGAAACATGTTTTCACTTTTAATAAATTTGAAAAGTCTGTATAAAGTTCTTTAAATTTAGAACAATAGTTGCAAATTCCTTTCCATCGAAGTGTAATAAATAAACTATGTAATTATATTAACAAAGTTCATTTAGCTATGAATAAACTATGTAATTATATTAACAAAGTTCATTTAGCTATGTAATCTTATTATTTTAAAATAAAAAATAGATTAAAAGAATAGTATTAAACTTAGGAATTTTATGCTTTATTTTTTGTTTCTTTTTTATAATTTTCTAAAAATAATGTTCCTTAATTTTTTGGAAAATAGAGCTTTTTGGGTTTCTTGATTTTATTTTGAAATTTAGATTCTTTTGATAACTTTTGGAGCCTTTTGTCATCTTTATTTTTTTAATCACTGCTTCTAATTTTCTTCAAAAAAAATTGAATTTTTTAATAGAACAATTTTTCAAAACAGACCCTTTCAAATTTTTATTTTTCAAAATCGACCCTGTTTTTTTTTATTTACCAAAACCGACCCGTTTTTTTGATTAGCAGCCTAATCACATTCCTAAATAGTCGGGGTTGCCAAACCCGACTATTTAGGACTTAAATTTGTATGGTTTAAGGCTTCTAATTAGGGTTTAACAACCTCCTAAATAGTCGGGGTTGGCAACCCCGACTATTTAGGAATGTGATTAGGCTGCTAATCAAAAAAACGGGTCGGTTTTGGTAAATAAAAAAAAACAGGGTCGATTTTGAAAAATAAAAATTTGAAAGGGGCTGTTTTGAAAAATTGTTCTTTTTAATATTTATTTGTTTTTCCTTTTAAAAATTCCTTAGTGCGTTTTTGAGAAATTTTAAATTTTATTTTTAGATTATACAACTTAAAAATTTTAATAATTTATGGGGTTTAAGTTTTTTTTTTAATTATTGTACTTACAAAAAAAGTTTGAAAAGTTTTTGGAATTTAAAGAGTTAGTTAGAAATTTTAGATTTTGTAGAACTTTTTGGTCTTTTGTATTTGTTTAATTTAAATATGTCATAATGGTTGGGGTTGAGTGCACCAACTGTTAAACTTGCCACTTGGCTGTTCCAACAACCATTTCTATTGTTTATTCGGTGCATATGCATCCCAAAGGTGAGAAGGATATTTAAGTAAATTTAGGTTGTACATCCATTCAAATTTGGCTCCAGATGGACATGCGAATGCACTTTCTGACTTAAATTTCACTTGTCTAATTGAGAAGTGTGTCTTCACCATTTTAATTCTGTAACTGTTAGATTTTCTAACTTGTATGACAATTAATAATATAAAATGAGAACTCGATCTCATTGAAAGTTGGAAGTGTGGATGAAACCAGACTGCATTAATTCAGTCAGGTCTTTTGTCTAGTCTTATGCCTTCACTTCTACACCTATTGGTTGTCCTCTCAATTTATCTGCTATTGCAATCCTAAGTTCTAACTCATAAAATGGTTGCTCAACAATTTATTCACTTTGCACAAGTCATCATGAAGAAAGGGTTGGATTTTACCGCACAACACAGACCTTTAAGAATATCGATGTTTTCTTTCCTCGTATCTCTTAATAAGCATGTCTTTTCCACCTTTTAATAACAAAAACCTTCTCCCAAGAAATTAAACTAAAATTATGACATTATATCAAACACTGGAAAAGAAAGGACGGTTCAAGAAAAAACTAAGAATAGATTAATCATGATCATGTGCTATGGATATATCATATGTCATGTAGCCTAAGTTGCATGGAAATAGGTACTGGTACGGGCGTGGTACGGGTACAGGACACGACAAAACTATAAAATGTAGGCTACGGGGACATAGCTATATGTTGAATTAATAACGTAGATGAGATCATTTTTTCCCGCTTCATTTGTCATTAGAATTAAAATTCCAATCACATTTTAAAGTTTCTTGTATCATATTGATTTATCATAAATTGAAAACTACTCTTTCTTTAACTAGACATCCAAACAACTCTTTAACTATATAGTTTTGAACTTGGGTATGGACTGAAACGAACCCGACCCATATCTAACTGGTTCTAGAAATGGATGTGAAGTGTAAGCTATATGTCCAAGAAGTGTTTGACTAGTGTTTAAAGTTAACACATATATCGTATAATTGAGTACATGATGTAATAAATGCATACATATATTCAAAAGTGTCCATGAAGTTTGGGTACGGGAAAGTGTCGGATGTGTCTGGTGTGGGTATAGCTTCATTATAGAAGTACCCGGGTAACATAGCATGTAGCTAGTGTTTCTTGAGGTTTTCCTATGTGAATTACTATTGAGGGTGTTTTTGAGGTTTTCATATGTAAATTACTTGAGGGTCTAGAATATTTTATCATAGAGCAGAATTTCGAATTTACTTAGGTGGTATGTGATAGCTTGCAACTACATTTGCAATATATCTGCCACTTGCATGCAATTGTGTCACTACAACTTTCAACCAAAGTTGCAGTTTTTATTTTACATTGAATTGGCAACTTCCAGTTGTTTGGTTCAACTTGCAACTTCTCATATTGGACATGTTTTCACTTTTAATAAATTTAAAATGTTTGTTAAAAGTTTTTTAAAATAGAACAATAGTTTCAAATTCCTTTCCATCTAAGTCCCATAAATTAACTATGTAATTATATTAACAAAGTTCATTTATCTATGTAATCTTACTATTTTAAAATAAGCAATAATAGATTAAAAGAATAATATTAACTTTGGGAATTTTGTATTTCTTTATTTTTTTTGTTTATTTTTATATTTTTCTAAAACATAATGTTCCAAATGCAACTTTTGGAACTTTTTGTTGTCTTTAGTTTTTAAAATTCTTTAGTGTCTTTTTGAAAAAAAAATCATAATTTTTTTAAAAATTTTGTACTTTATGTTTAGATTTTGTAACTTAAAATTTTAATATTTTGTGGGGTTTTTAGTCTTTTTAAATAGTGTACTTGTAAAAAAGTTTGGACTCTTTTTTTTGGAATTTTAAGAGTAAGTTAGAAATTTTTGATCTTTTGTATTTGCTTAATTTAAAAATGCTTTCATGGTTTTTGGAAAGTTTAGGAAATTGTTAAATTAATTGTCTTTTTTGTAATTTTTTGGTTTTTTTGGCATTTATTTTATAGAAAATTTAATGTTTTTTAAATAAATTTGAAAGATTCTTTAACATTTGAATTTATTGAAATTTTTTGATGTTTTCAAACTATTTTAAAATTTAATGTTTTTTGTAATGTTTTTTAGTTTGTTTTAATATTGTTATAAAGTTAGAGTTTTTTTAGTGGGCCAAGGTTCAACTTAACAAGTGCTATAGTTGTGTTAAGTTGCAAGCGTGACTTTCAGTCATAGTTCACGTAAGTCATTTTGTGACTGAGGCGTTTTGTAACTGCAGTTCCAACAAGACACAAACTTGCAACCAGCAATGAATGACCGAGTTGTTGCACAACAAAAGCAAATTGTAAAACGAAAGATTTCAAGGCAAGCTATCAAAAGTGGCGAGGAAAAAAAGAAAGCTAATGAGTCATCAGTTGGTCTTTTTTTATTTGGGGGGGGGAGCTGGGGGGTCGTCGAGGTGCACCAATTGTTAAACATGCCAGTTGGCTGTTCCTGCAGTCATTTTTATTGTTTATTTATGCATATGCATTCCGAAGGTGAGAAGGATATTTAAGTAAAGTTAGGTTATTTATCCATCCAATTTGACCACAGATGGACATGTGAATTCACTTTCTGACTTTGAAAAGTGCATCTTCATCATCTTAATTTCTAGAATCGTTAGATTTTAACTTGTATGGCAATTAATAATATAACTGAGAACTCGATCTCATTCAAAGCTGAAAGTATGGATGAAACCAGACTGCATTAATTCAGTCAGCTCTTTGGCCTGGACTTATTATGCCTTTACTTCTACACTTATTGACTGTCCTTGCATATAATCTGCTATTGCAATTCTAAGTTCTAACTCATAAAATGGTCGCTCAACAAGCTATTCACACTGCAAGAGTCTTATACTCATCACGAAGAAAGTGTTGTATTTTACTGCACGACACAGACCTTTAAGAATATCGATGTTTTCTTTCCGTGGATCTCTTAATGGTCATGTTGTTTCCCCCTTTTAATAACGCAAACCTTCTCCTAGAAAGCAAAATAAATTAAAGCATTATACTTAAGTGGTTACTTTAATGATTTTGCATCTACATGAATTGCTTCTTACTTTTCTCGTTTTGACTTAAATGCGTCTTTCATATGGACCGTTCTATATGTTTTGAGTTCAAAAACTTTAGAATCTTTAATCATTTCTTAACATAACTGCAAGCATTATCTTTTTTTATTTGGGTTTAGATATTTATTTCATTGTTGTGTACATTTATATGTATGCAGCATGGCAAATCTTATACTGGAAGCCATAACAAACCTGAAGGAGGCAAATGGGTGCAATATAACCGCCATCACAATGTATATAGAGGTGAGAAGCATTTGTTGGGGAATCTCCTCTAGTACTAAGTTGTTATAGTTGTGTTTATTTTACGATTTGTTTTTTCGGGTGTCCTTATATCCTTCATTCCTGTATGGGCATCTAGATAGTGCAGAACATATACCTTTAACCAATTGTTACTTTAGCTAAAATCCATGTGAGAACTAAAGGTGAGTTCCTATTAATGAATAACATAGATCACTAACCTGTTATCTGTTCATGCTATATCAGAAGAGCAATATATCATCTTTCATGTACATTGTCGAAAATAAACCGTTTTCTTGGTTTTTTTTTCTTTTTCTTTTATTTAATGAGAGATAAAACCAGGGGAATCTGTACAATGGTGATGCTTTAGAAAAAAGATTTGGCAGATTTCATAATAATACATTTATAGGCACATTTCTTTAGGCATAATGCTTGTTAACAGGAGTGCACAGGGTTTGGATACGGCTCGGATATGACACTTACCATATCCGTATTCGCTTACCAATCTAGGGTATGGATACGGATATAGATACGGATATGCCGTAAAGAAAATTTATAGTCATATCTGTTAAAATCGTGTGTGTATATATATAAGAGGATATACATACGAATACAAAATGGATATAAGAAAACTAGATATATTGAAAAATATAGTTAATATGATACAAGCGAGTTCATTAATATGCTATTATATCTGAAAAGCTAAAATTAGATCTATTGATCATCAAAATCATTCTCAAATCCATTAATCTAAGTTTTAATACCGTCACAACTATATGATATTTAGTTATATATGGATATTTCACTGCATAACCATATCCGTTATCATATCCTATCGGTTATAGATTAGCAATCATACCCATATTCTAACGAAGATGGATATGGAGATTTTCTCGGATACGAAGTGTATCCCTACTTGTTAATGTAGTTTTGGCTAGACTGATTGATAAGCTGTTTCTGATTATTTTCTATTTTGCCCAAGTCATGTTGGCCTTTTCTGCTAAGAATCTTTTTGTTTGATTTTTTTATGTGCGTCATAAATATTTTATAGAAAGGATGTTATTGTTGGCTAGATTCTAATTGTAATTGTTTTTTAATTCGATTCATGTAGGACCATTATGTGCCGCGTGCAGATCTCAAGCAACTCTTGTCTGGTGAATTACAAAGAATGACTGGGACCGGTATACTAATTAAGGTAACATAGTTTCCAACCTGCTGCAATTTATGGATAATGTGAAATTTGATGCCTAACAGCTATGGTCAAAACTATTAGAGAAAACAATATGATTGAAGACTTCCGAATATATTGTTTTATCTCACTAAATCCTCATTTGCAGATTTATTTGCTTATATCTGGCATGTGACATGGATGTGTTGTTTAGAAATAAGGTCATTGCAGCAAATGGCTTGCTGGAATTGATTTGGGTCGGCTTAATTTGGTTTTTATTGTCAGCCTTTGGTTATGTCATTATGCGCACAAAATTAGACCTAGGCCATGTTTGTTGTTTGGATAGTGAGGGTATTATTTTAAAATAGTCCGGACTCATCTATTTAGCCAATGTTTGTTTTCTTATATGGCTTGGACTATTCTTAAGGAGGGACTGCTTAATCTTTATAGTGTGGAATAAAATAAAGGTTACTTTAGAAAAAAAAACTCAATTATGGAGGTTGTCTCAGAAAACTCCCTCAACTTTAACCCCCTTGACTTTCAAAATATGACTTATCCCTCCTCAACTTTTCTCACTTAACCCCCTAAACTAATTTAATTAAATTTAAAGGAACACATGATTTAAAATGACCATACTATCCCTTAGACATCAAAAATTTTAGCATGTCGTATCTTTTTAACTTTGTTAGTTTAAAGTACCCCCCTATTTTATCTCCCTTTTCTTCTCCCTCCATATTCGTTGCTAGGTCCATGCAGGAACCCAACTTTTTCTTTCTTTTTTGAAACACTAAACTTATTTTATTTCATAATTATTCATGTTTCTAATGTTTGAAACAATTACTTTTTTTTAAGATTTGATTTCTCGTAAAAAAACCATTGAATTAAAGTCTAATATTTTAATTGGGTTGGTTTTTTGAACTCACATGGGTTTCTCTTTTAACCAAGGGTATTTTAGTCATTGCACATTTTTAATTAACGATATTGGGGTGTTATTTGATAAAATTGTAAAGATAAGGGTGTTTTGTGAGACACCCCATAGTTAAGGTGGGTTTAGTCATATTTTGAAAGTTGAAGCGAGTTATCTACAACGCACTCAAATTTTAGGGGGGTTTCCTAGAGTTAAAAAGTTGAAGGGGGTTTTCTGAGACAACCCCATAGTTGAGGGGGTTTTTCTAAAATTAACCCTAAAATAAACCTAGCCCACCCCCACCTTTGCAATCCAGGTACAAATCATTAGAGGGGATTAACATTCAAGAAAAATGCCCCTTAGTTTTGTTGTTTCTAGCTAGATTTTTGTTCCGATCATATTTCTTTTCTCCAACGGGCTTACACGGTTCGAGGATTATAATCTTGAGGTTACAATATCCACAAGTTCCAAGATAAAAATCAAGTGTGGCCTTAATAGTATTAGTAACTTGCAATAGTTGATTACACAACGTGCATGATTGCTCATTTAGCGAGATGGGCATGATCAAATGTCCATCTCTTGGTAACTCATTTAAGAAAACTGAGTCACTACCCCATACTCATTATTTCCACATATTGTGTAAATGTACATATGTGTCTGTGTGTGTGCACGTGTGTGTATATATAGAATAAGATATGTCACATCGCTATGTTATCACTGCATATGAGGGAATCCCCTCACATGTCATATGATATCCATTATTCTCACACACACACGGGCAGGCATGCACACACAAAGGCCATTAGTCATAATTTTATGTTGAACATTTGGGTTTAAGTGTTTTAAGATCTTTTAAGTACATCTTATTCCCCATAAGATTTACGATAACTTCGAGCTATATAGGATCTATCTTGTACAAATTTTAGCATGTAACCGATATTCAGATCCTGAAAGTCTTCAGTTGTAAGCATCAACATACTAGAGTAGAACAGAAATGCTGGTCAAGCTGAATGGCAGAAACTTGTTTACAGTACAATAGACAAGCCAACAAAGTGAAGGAAGAATAAACAATCATCTATTGACGATTTGTCTTGGATGCACCTATAACAATGAATGGAGGTCCAGAAAGAGATGACACTAAACATAATGTGGAAAAATTCCAATTCCTTCGAGCACAAAGCCTAGGTATATTTCTTGGGACTATCTCCAAGTTTGCTTAGAGAACCATGTTATCTCAATTGGACCGCTCCTATCAGCCCCAGATATATAACTTCTTTATTTATTTATTTACTTACTTTTATTGGTTCGTACCTATGCATGTGCATGAGTCTTTGGATATTCAAGGATATTCAACGCAATAAATTTATTTTTCCGTACTCTATTTTTTCTCTGAATTTTGATAGTACTATTTGCTGGGTTCAAGTGCATGGTCAGTATTTATCTTTACTAAATATGGATTACTTATTAGATTTTTTTTATGAGAAGCTTTAGAATGTTCATATGCACATTTTCATTTTACATATTGGATATAGGTTGATAGAAGTATACAGAACAAGGTTTTATGTGATTGCAGACGACCCATGAAATTAGAAGGAAAACACTAGGTGACGGTAATACCTCGTGGTAGGAGTGTTCAAAACTTAAGAAACATGTCCTGAAAAACAGAAACGACAATGCTGAGATGGATGGCTGATAATATATTACGAGCAGATAAGAAACTAATGCACTTTTTTTTATTGGTTGAAGGTTGCTTTTTTCTTAAAGGATAATTTGGTTTAACTGCTTGAGATGGTTAGGCCATGTGTAATGGAGGCCAATAAGGGTGGTAGTTGGAGTGATATGCTTGTAACTGATAGTGCTATGAGGTCAACATTGGTCTAAACAGATACAGGGGAGTATAATTAAAAAAGGATATGATATCTAATTTAAACTAAGTAATGCCCTTAACGGAACAACAACAACAACAACAACGACAACAAAATGTCAACAACAAAGCCTTTATTTGAAATTTTTGGGTTGGGTACACAAATCCTACTCGTCCGCTCAGTTCTGTTGAGGGTTCTCTCCTCTGCTAAGTTACTTACCAAGTTTTCTTAGCCTACTTCTAATCCTTCTTGCTTGTAATCTTAATATCCAAAATCCTGTTTTAGAGCTTAGTTAACCATCCTAATTCCGTATCTCTTAAGACATTTCCAACTTCAATAGAGATCCTCAGGTTCTATGGCTCCTTCGAAGTTTCATTTTTCTTAAAGCATTTCTTAACTTCATTAGTTCGAATCTTTCAACTATAGTTATGGTTCTTATCATGCATTGTGCTGTTAAATTCTATCTTAAGTTTGCTTGTGTGGTTATCATTAAAATACCGCTCCTCTTTTTAATTTCATCGTTAGAGAATAAAATATAACCCCCAACTGTCACCGTAATTTAGAGTTGTGGTGCAGCGGAAAGGAATTTTGCATGGTATCAGGAGCAGCACAGGTTCAATCCTAACAGCGACAAATTTAAAGCGGGATTAAAAAAATACTGATGTATGAGTTCAGGTTTCGGCCTTTGAAAGGGCGTTCAACCTGTGCGGGTGGGGGCTTTGACAATTAGTTAATAAAACTTCTTGATCTTCACTTTTGTTACATCTAATTATTTAAGTCTCTATTTTTTCATTTTGTCATCTTGGCAAGCTTATAAATATCCTTCTCGCTCTCCCGAGACTTTACTTTCTGGGACTCTACTTTCTTTTATAATTTCTCAAAAACCTTGTAATTAGCCTTGCTAATTTTCTTTCTTTTGGTTTCCCCCCTAATCTATATTCCTCAAAATTTTCCTTCTTGCTAAGTGACGCCCATAGTTGAGCTGAATCAATATTATATGTAACCGGTCCCAACTTTGAGGCCCATTTTTTTTGTTGCATAAAAATATATTGCAGTACTAAATGTCTTGAATTGCCTTGCTAGAATTGATGAGTAAAGCTTCTATTATCTAATTTTTGCATGAAACCCTTTACTAGAAATGCAGCCTTCTAAAAGCTAAGCAATGCTGTGGTTTCTTATTGACTGTTCTGTTTCCAACTGATTTGGGTTTCTGATAGTGCAACATAGATCAATTTGAAAGAAACAGGGTTGATCATTGGTACTGGATCTTATGGTTTTGAAATGGGCACGCGATGTTTGTATCTCATGTTCTACTAGTAACTCTTTTGATGTGAGATTCCTAATTTAACATGTGTGCCTTTTAATGCTCTCATCTTTTCTTAGAAACTAAGGGAAATATGTTCGTCAATAAGAATCGGCTATTTACTCTGGCTACAAATTTGTAATACTTGGGCTCAGATCTGCTGCTTGGTTATCCTATGCACTTCCAGTTAGCAAGGCTAGAAAAGTTCAGATCGACTGCACTGAAAGTCTTATAATAAGGCCGTGTACTGATCTATGTAACATTTCTTAGCTAATCAGATTCTACTGCTATTGGGAAATGGAACTGAAAAATCATGAATTATTCGTGACCTGTATCATTATTCATTTCTATTCAAGAGCACTTTTTACCTTTATGGTCAATGTTTTAAATGTCAGATGTCGGGTTCATGTCAGATGGCTGAAATCCATGTCGGATAGCGGAAATCGGGGATATATCAGGGGACATTGACTAAATATCGGATTTCTATATCGGGTAGATGTATAATATCGTGTCCTAAATGTAATCTAAGCATTCATAAATTCAATATAAGCATACTTTATAAATTCTATAGACTAAACATATAAAATTCTATAGACTAAACATATAGAAAAGTAAATAATATATGGATTTAGGTTCATAAATTCTTTCTATCGGGTTCATAAGAAACCCTTAAACATTCATAAATTCTTTCTATCGGGTTCATAAGAAACCCTTAAACATGAGAACGGGTCAAAAGAGTTTGAGTAGTTATCACTAAACCCAAACCCCATAACAAAAAACAGATCTTAAAAAAAATACCATATCGGTCGATTTTTTAAAGCTAAAAAATAGGCCGATATGCCCAATATGATCTTGATATTTCCGATTTGGTCCTGAAAACCGACATACGAGTTGAAAACGTCCATGTCGTGTCGGTCAAACCCTCAAACCGATATGTCGGCCGACATGTCGGACATGTCGGGCGACATTTAAAACCTTGTTTATGGTGTTTAGTTTTAAGATTGTATCATGTCTGTACTTCTTTTGCAGTCGAAGCACAATTATAGGATAGCACCGAATTCAAACCCCTCAGAAGGAAGAAGCTCCAAGTCCAAGCTTTTATGCAAAGGAAGGCAGAGGGAACCTTCTCGAGTGAATACGGGGGCTGATATCAAACATCTTAACAAGCCTCAAACATATTCTAACTTAGCAAAGATGGTACATATGTCTTCAGAGGAGGCGGCAGCTGCTGCTGTTCAGGCAATTGCAGAGGCTGAAGCAGCCACGTATAAAGCTGAAGAAGCAATGAGACTGGCGGAGGCTGCAGAAGCTGACGCTGAATATGCACAGGCTGTTGCTGAGCAGTTAGCTTTGGCACTTGAAAATGGAAGTTCAGCTATGTCGGTAAAGTTCTTATTTGGATGCCTCTCAATTTCAGTATCCTTTCCTTTATACATATATTTCTGATATATTTGCTAATTAATTTCTCTGCTCATTATGGGTAGTTCTTTGATCTTCATTTTCTGTGTCTGCAGCACTACTCTTCTTACTGTCTGTGTTCTGCCTCGTTGTCTCTCTTTTTAGTTAAGAGTTCATTTTTATAGAGGGTGTTTGGGAAGGCTTATGTTCTGAAGTTTATAAGCTATGCTAGTTGTTTATGCCTTTGGACTTTTATGGTTCTACAAAAATTGTTTGGGTAGAATAGTCATTTGTTTGGTCAAACCTAGTTTTTCAATAGTTGGACTCCAAATTTTTAAATGAGACTTAAAAAAGCTAGCTTATGCGGGACGTTACCAAACACGTAGTGGCATAGACATGGAAAATCTAGCTTAAAAGCTATTTTGATCAAAATTTGAGCTCCCTAAACACCCTCATAAGGTGAGAAATATCTTAGATGAACTTATTTTTAAACGAGTAGCCTAGTGTTAGGTCTTGTTAATTTTTTGGGGTTTTTGGTATATATACCCCTCAAAATTAACGAGCTATCGTTTGCCACACTACCTCCAATTCTCAGTATTTACAAAACTACCCCTCAAATCATCAGCTTGAGAATGTGTGTGTGTATATCCCCCAAATCAATAAAGCATCAACTTTGGTTACTAATTAGTGGCTGCAATATAAAAATATCAACAAAATAGCTCAAATTTTTACTCCCCGTGTCCAACAAAGGTCGTGATTTGTTGATTTGGGGGTAGTTTTTTTGCCCTCAAAGTTGATGATTTGAGGGTACTTCTGCAAATACTGAGATCTGGGGGGTAATTCTCCAGATACACATGCTTTAACGTGCATTTCTTTCTCTTGACTACTTCGAACTCTAGGCTCTAGGGTAATTCTGCAGATACACGTGATTTGAGGGTACTTCTGCAAATACTGAGATCTGAGGGGTAATTATACAGAAACCCCTACTTTTTCCCTACTTTTGTGATGAGATGGTATTTGGTGGTACTCCATTTTGGCCTTGCTTGCTGGTTCGTCAAAATACGGAATTGTGCAATCATGTAATCGTGCATTTCTTTCTCTTGACTACTTCGAACTCTAGGATTTCGTCTTTGGTTACAGAAAACCCCATGAACATCTGGGGAGTTGCAGTAAACCCCCATCAATTTTTTTAATTACACTAAACCCCTTTGAACGGAAGGAGATTTTGCACATAACCCCTATTGTTACCAGATGCTGCAATCTTATTATACTTTGGTAGTGGATATAAATATCTTAACATTTTGTCTTTACCAAATTACGATGCCTTTTCATATGTTGCCTTTTCTCTTTTGCTTCGCAGGTGAGGTGATGGTTGGAAGTTTGATCTGATTCTTCCGGAGCCGATTTGGGGGTTAAGTATAAAATTCAGTGACTATTTTTTTTTTCCGTGGCAACTATGTAGATATGATTAGATCATGTATATATTCCGTGTAATACAAATCTCTTACTGGTTTCGACGAGTAGGTGGATCCTATAATTGATAGTAGAACCTCAAGTTGCTAAATGTTTCCCGTGTTTAAGGATTTATTACAAGAGACCGATGTTTGTAAACTCGCCGACCCCCTAGATGGTCTTCCTACTATAATTAGGATTAATTGCAGATTCATCCGTTGCAATTCACGGGTTATTCAATTATTATTGTTTGATGTCA